TTTTTGCCACCACACCCAGCTTTTGTTAAATGGGTTCTGGGATTCATCCCCTCAGCCCTAAAAGTCATTTCTTCTTGTTTTGTTGCTTTTCAAGTGTTCCTGTTACAAATTAAGATGAGATCAGTAAGAGAGCTGCACAGGGTCAGGGCCATCAGCATCCCTGGCTTCAGCACCACATCCTGTCCCTGCAGAGGTCTTCAGAGGCCATAATGCTCAAGGAGCTGGAACTTCCTGTGATCACAATGCCTGGAATATTTCTTTCTTAATTAGGGTTTCTGTTGCTGTGTTGAAATACCATGATCAAAAACAACTTGGGAGGAAAAATTTTATTTTAATTTATTTCATTTACACTTCTAGGTAACAGTTAACCACTGAGGAAAGTCAGGGCAGGAACTCAGCCAAGGCAGGAACTGATGCAGAGATCATGGAGGAGTACTAATTTCTGGCTTGCTTCTATGCCTTGCTCAGCTTGCTTTCTTTGTTTTTCTCTTTTTAAAAATATTTTGTCCATTTTGCATACCAACCACAGTTGCCCCTCCCACCCTTTCTCCTGCTCCTCCCTCTCCTCCACCCAATCCCATCTTCTTTTCAGAAAGAGTAAGGCCTCCCATGGGGAGCCAACAAAAGCCTAACACATCAAGTTAAAGCAGGACCCTCTGCATCAAGGCTGAGCAAGGCATTTTACCATAGGGAAAAGGCTCCAAAAAGCCAATATATGGATCCAGGATAGATCCTGGTCCCACAAACAGACCAAGCCACACAACTGTCACCCACAGCGGGCTAGTTTGGTCCCATACAGGCTCCCCAGCTGTGGGTCGAGTCCATGAGCTCCCAGGAGTTTACTGTCTCTGTGGGTTTCTCAGTCATGATCTTGACCTCCACTCCCTACCCCTTGCTCTCTTTGACCGGACTCTCAGAGCTCAGTTCTTGGCTGTGGGTCTCTACATCTGCTTCTGTCAGTTACTGGTTCTATGGTGACAATTAGGGTAGTCACCAGTCTTATTAAGAGAGCAGGCCAATTCAGTCACCCTCTCCACTATTGCCAGAAGACATATCTGGGGTCATTCGTATGGATTCCTGGAAATTTCCCTGGCAAAAGGGCTCTCCCTAATCCCATCATGGCTCCCTCTATCAATATATCTCTTTTATTTCTCTCCCTCTCTGTCCCTTCTCTACTCGACCATTCCATTCCCTCATGTTCTCATCCCCATCCCCTCCCTTCGACCATTCCCCCTCCCCCCAGTTTACTCAGGAGATCTCATATATTACCCCTTCCTAGGACCATCCACACATCTCTCTTAGGGTCCTCCTTGTTAGCTAGCTTCTCTGGAGCTGTGGGTTGTAGTCTGGTCATTCTTTGCTTTACGTCTAATATCCACTTATGAGTGAGTACATATAATGTTTGTCTTTCTGTGTCTGGGATGATTTTTTCTAGTTCCATCCATTGACCAACAAATTTCATGATGTTATTGTTTTTCACGGCTGAATAGTGCTCCATTGTGTAAATGTACCACATTTTCTTTATTCATTCTTTGGTTGAGAGGCATATAGGTTATTTCCAGGTTCTAGCTATTATGAATAATGCTGCTATGAACATAGTTGAGCAAGTGTTCTTGTAGTATGATTGAGCATCTTTTGGGTAATGCCCAAGAATGGTATTGCTGGGTCTTGAGGTAGATTGATTCCCAATTTTCTCAGAAACTGCCACACTGATTTCCTAAGTGGATGTAAATGTTTGCACTCCCATCAGAAGTGGAGGAGTGTTCCCCTTATTCTACATCCTTTCCAACATCTGTTCTCAGTGTTTTTGATCTTAGTCATCCTGACAGGTATCAGATGGTATCTCAGAGTTGTTTTGATTTGTATTTCCCTGATTACTAAGTATGTTGAACAATTCCTTAAATGTCTTTTGGCCATTTGAGAGTCTTCTGTTGAGAATTCTCTGTTAAGATCTGCAATCCCTTTTTAAAATTGGATTATTTTGTATTTTGATGTCTAGTTTCTTGAGTTCTTTATATATTTTGGAGATCAGTTCTTTGTCAGATGTGTGGTTGGTGACGGTATTTTCCCATTCTGTAGTCTATCATTTTATCTTATAGCACCATCCCAGACTTCAAGCTTTACTATATAGCTATAGTTATAAAAGCAGCTTGGTATTGACCTAAAAACAGGCATGTGGACCAGTGGAATCAAACTGAAGACCCAGACATTAATCCACATACCTATGAACACATGAATTTTGACAAAGAAGCCAAAATTGTACAATAGAAAAAAAAAGAAAGCATCTTAAATAATTGGTCCTAGCATAACTGGATGTCAACATGTAGAAGAATGCAAATAGATTTATATCTTTTTCCATGCACAAAACTCAAGTCCATGTGGATCAAAGACCTCAATATAAATCCAGTTACACTGAACCTGACAGAACAGAAAGTGGGAAGTAGCCTTGAACACATTGGCACAGGAGACCACTTCCTAAATATAACCCCAGCAGCACAGACACCGAGAGCAACAATCCATAAATGGGGCCCCTGAAACAGAAAAGCCTCTGTAAGGCAGAGGACACAACCTGCTTCCTTAAATCCCAGGACCACCTTCATAGAGGTGGCACTTGTTCGAGCCTTCCACGTCAGTACACCACGGGCTTTCCCACAGGCCAGTCTTCTGATGTCATTTTCCCAGCTGAGTCTCCGTCTTCCAAATGAGTCTAGCACGTGTCAAGTTTATATAAAACTAGCCAGTTCAATTTCCTAAAGATCTGCATGGATGGACACACAAGCGAGGTTGTGAAGAGGGGCATAAAGGAGGGAGGACTTTAAGCATTGAAAAGCATGCTATAGTAAATATATGAACTAATAACACAGTTATTACTGTTACTATTACTGCCATTTTCCAGAATCTGTACTTTATGTAATATATGTGCAGTGTTTTATGAACTGTCTGCACAGTTGGTTTGTGTGCACAATGTCATCACAAGTATACAAGTAACAGATATATTGTACTATGACATTACATTACAGCATTGTCAGATAATAGGAATTTTACCCTCTAAGTTTACAAGTCCACCATTGTAAACATGTTACACAATCCATTCTTGACCAAATCATCATTATTTATATGGGATATGGGACTGTGTGTGTGTGTGTGTGTGTGTGTGTGTGTGTGGCAACTTGACTTACCCTAAAAACCATCTCTAGACTGATAAAGAACCAGTGTTCCCCAATTCAAATCATGACCAAGTAAGATAAGTGAAGTCTGTGAAGCAGTGGTTGGGTAGAAATCTGAAGACTGGTTAGAGGTAGCACTGGGAAGCATCAAGAAGAGGAGGCATTCTTCCTCATTGGGAAATGAAAGCAGTGTGGCTTATGCTGAAATACAAGACACGAGCCCCACATGCTACGCAGCCTTACAGAGTACGTCTACCAAAAGAAATTGTCCAGTGGGCCCACTGAAGCATCATGTGTAATGGACAGCTACCTCAGAGTTCAGCAGACAGCTGTGGTCCTTTGTCCTCTGGAGTGCTACACATTTTTTTTTTTAATTGAGAAAAGGAAAAAAAAAGTTTCCCCCTCCTCCCAGCCTCCCATTTCCCTCCCCCTCCTCCCACCCTTCTCCCCCTCCCCCCACTCCTCTCCCCCTCCCTCTCCAGTCCAAAGAGCAGTCAGGGTTCCCTGCCCTGTGGAAAGTCCAAGGTCCTCCCTCCTCCGTCCATGTCTAGGAAGGTGAACATCCAAACTGGCTAGGCTCCCACAAAGCCAGAACATGCAGTAGGATCAAAACCCGTGCCATTGTCCTTGGCTTCTCATCAGCCCTCATTGTTCGCCAGTGCTACACAGTTTTAAAACAATTGTATGTACATTTCTTGATTGAAGGACTACCCACTGGGTGTTAACAAATGCCAAACATGTTTGGAGTATTTACTGAACATCCTATTTAAAAAGATAGAAACGCACATATGAGAGAGGAGGGGGGGAGGGAAGGAGGGAGGAAGGGAGAGAGAAGAGAAGAGAGAGAGGAGGGGGAACTGACATATCAAAGCTAACAATTGTTATATTATCACGAGAGAAAAAAAGAGGAAGTAGTTGAAATTACTAGAGTGAATTCTATGTCCGTTGTTTAGCGTGGTGTAATTTTTAATTTAAAAGTCTCATAATTGATTATACATGAAAGTACACACCATTGGACCCAGGTTGGCTTTGAACATGCCTGAGTACCGTGTAGCGCAAGATTGGAGACTCAACATTACTGCATTTGGTCTAAGATACTCCCGTAGAACAATCAGCAAGCTTCTCTTGTCTAGTGCTGATATTGGTCTGTAAAGCTGCATGTGGTTCTGAAATTGTAATTTGTACTTACTTTTTCAATTCAGTCGTTAATAAAATACATTGTTTTACGGGAGTATCTTTGACCAAATGCATGGGGACCTTGAGGGGAGGGCTGAAGCAGGGAGGGGAGAGGCAGGGAGGGGAGCAGAGAAAAATATAGAGCTCAATAAATATCAATTAAAATGTATTTTAAAAGTAAAAAAAAAAGCGTACTAGGGGCTTGGTCATGGACATTTCTTTGGAACTTATGAAGGTTCCCATGTACATGAAAAAAGAAAAACATTAAAGAAAGGTTTGCTTTGCTCCTAAAAAAAATAAAAATAAAATAGATTGTGAAAGAAGTCCTCCTAAAGCAACATAGCAGTACTCCATTGTTGTCAGTGTTAGGTCCTCCTGTTTTACTGTTTTGAAACTACTCGATCTGAAGAGCATGGTCCTTCCATACCTGTGTCTAACTACAGTCAAATCAAACATGACTCTTGAAAAAGCTGAATGTTCTTGAGTGTGGTGGTACATGGCCATGAACCCGGGACTTGGGAGGCAGAGGGAGGGAGGATTGCCACAAGCTTGCTATGTAGTGAGACTGTCTTTTAAAAACAAGTTATTTTCTTCAACACACTTGTGATATATACACTTGATACAAAGATTGCTTACTGTTTTTCTCTTTTATTTCAGAGCGCTTTACCGTGTACAGTTCTAAAAGCCTCAGACAAGCATGGAATAAGTAAGTCTGTATACAAATGGTGCGCATTCTCTCTCTCTCTCTCTCTCTCTCTCTCTCTCTCTCTCTTTCTCTCTCTCTTTCTCTCTCTCTCTGTCTCTCTCTCTCTCCCTCCCTCCCTCCTTCTCTCTCTCTCTCTCTCTCTCTCTCTCTCTCTCTCGCTTACTGAGTGAGTTTGTCACAGCATGCATTCACTCACTGATGTTGGATCCATCCATTCATTTGACACAAATTAACCCTTACTGTGTACCGTCTACCATGTTCACACACAGAGCCAACAGGCAGTGTGGGTTCAGGTTCTTAGAGCAATGTGGTATTGTGGACCAGCAGTCCAGTTGTGCGGACGTAAACATAGCCGGGCTCTGCTTTTTCTTGGCACATCTTTGTAGAGAAAGAGCGCTTCCAAATGTCTTTCGGGCCAGGCCTCACGCAGCAGACCGAGGCTGGAGTGCTGGGGCAAAGAAGTGTGAGCAGCTCCCTGTACAGTCTGCCAGCTCATGCCTCCTTTCCGCGCCACAATGCCGAAACTGTAGCTCCTGTGATGAAGTAAGCCATCATCCATTCGAACATGTCTGTAGGGAATCTGGTAGAACAGTCTTTGTACTGTTGTGACATTTTAATTTGGGGCATTGTCGATTATGACAATAGGAAGTAAAAAAATTTTTATTCAAGAATGCTTTTAATCAATGCTGTCAGCAGACTTGGTGGGCACCTAATAGTGACAAACCCTTAGGATGAATATATTATAATTTGAAGGATTTAACCATTTTTAAAATTAATTATTTAGAAAAGTATGACCATTCTTTTAAAAAAGTAATGCATGCAGCTCTTTTAATTATTAGGATATGTTCATTGTACAAAGCAATGAATTTCATGATACTTTTAAAAAATGTATCAGTCCATTATTATGTACCTATATTTTCATTATTCATGGATATATAAAGCTCCGTTGTGTTTGCATACCCCATTTTCTTTATCTCTTCACGTATTGGTGGATACCAAGGCCTTAAGTTGGCTGTTAGGACCTGTGCCCTAAAGCACATGATATATTTTAGTGAAAATGTGAAATCCTATCACGTTGTACAATGCATATATGCTAATATCTATTTTTTAGTTGTAGAATATATTTTAACTGTTCAGGGAAGAGGTTTTAATTTTATTTTTTTTAATTTAATCACATGGTACAAAATTGAAAAATACTGAAAGTCTGCAGTTAAAAGGAGTGCTCCTCTCTCTACCATTCCTCAGTCATGGGAATCATTGATATAAGTTTCTTTCTTTCTTCTTTTATTGAGCTATATATTTTTCTTCACTCTTCTCCCTTCCTCTCCCATCCCCTTCTAATCCTCCTATGGTCCCCATACTCCCAGTTTACTCAGGAGATCTTGTCTTTTCTACTTCCCATGTAGATTAGATTCATGTGTCTCTATTAGGGTCTCTATTGTTGTCTATATTGTTTAATTTGGAGCATAATTACTAAATTGAAGTAATTGATGTACTGTAGTAATGGATTCAAAATAATTTCCAAGAATTCAAGTTATTTGCTTAATATATGATGGTATGGTAATCCAAAAACAAAACAAAAATACATTGCTATTCAAAATCAAGGTACAAAATTAAGTAACAATATTAACAAAATTAAGTTTCAAAATTAAGTAACAATGCCTTTACAGGTAGGCATTATCCAAGCCATAGAAACTATCGGGGTGTTAACCTGCCAATGTGAACAGGAATTTCTTGAGAAAGAGATCCTTGAGTCTAAATAGCTATCACAAGTAATCCAGCTCACGTGTGAACCACATCTGCCTTAGATCACACCCATAGAAAATGACCACATCTGCCCTAGGTTACACCAGCAAAAAACAACCACATCTGCCCTAGGTTACCCCAGTGAAAAGCGACCACATCTGTCCTAGGTTACACCAGCAAAAAATGACCACATCTGTCCTAGGTTACACCAGTGAAAAACGACCACATCTGCCCTAGGTTACACCCGTGAAAAACGACCACATCTGCCCTAGATCACAACAGTAGAAAACTACCACATCTGCCCTAGGTTACACCAGTGAAAAACGACCACATCTGCTCTAGGTTACACCAATAAAAAACGACCACATCTGCCCTAGGTTACACCAGTGAAAAATGACCACATCTGTCCTAGGTTACACCAGTGAAAAACGACCACATCTGCTCTAGGTTACACCAGTGAAAAACAACCACATCTGCCCTAGATCACACCAGTGAAAAATGACGACATCTGCCCTAGGTTACACCAGTGAAAAACGACCACATCTGCCCTAGATCACACCAGTGAAAAACAACCACATCTGCCCTAGATCACACCAGTGAAAAACAACCACATCTGCTCTAGGTTACACCAGTAAAAAACTACCACATCTGCTCTAGGTTACACCAGTGAAAAACGACCACATCTGCCCTAGGTTACACCAGTGAAAAACAACCACATCCGCTCTAGGTTACACCAGTGAAAAACGACCACATCTGCCCTAGGTTACACCAGTGAAAAACGACCACATCTGCTCTAGGTTACACCAGTGAAAACGACCACATCTGCTCTAGGTTACACCAGTGAAAAACTGAACTGATTTCACTTATATCAGTAATTATGAGCATAAATTTTTGTTTTGTTTTGTTTTCAAGACAGGATCTTTCTCTGTGTAAAAGCTCTGACTGTCCAGGAACTCACTCTGTAGACCAGACTGGCCTCAAACTCGCAAAGATCCACCTGCCTTTGCCTCCAAGTTCTGCCATGTCCAGGTCCATAAGCATAATGTATCTTCAAAAAATTTTTAATATTGTATAATAACAAAGCATTGGTAGAGGAAGATATCAAAAGATGCAATATCCAAACCAAAAAGCCTTAACATAATGAAAAATATTATCAGTCTGAAAGTAAAAAATTATCATCACTAAAGATAAAGACACTAATAATGTATGATCCAGGAAGCTCTTCCTGCATAAAGGGGATTTGGGGCTAAATGGAGACAAATCTGAACTTCATAAAAAAAAAATGTCCTGTTTTTTTAACTGCCTTCGAAATAGTCTGTTTTATTTTCTTGGAATTAAGAAGACTATTTCTCTTGCAAATCTCTCTATTTATAGTTGTCTGACATTGGCACATATGTGCAATCCACCAAGAATTTTAGCCACTTTAAAGATCTTTTATTATTTTGGCTGGAGAAAGGGCCTTAGTGTATATTCTACAGCGAAGAGAAGGGTGAGATTCCAAGAACACGTTTGCTTGCTTTGGAAGTCTAACAGCTGAACAGTTTGGGAGGTTTGGAAGCTCAGAAGCGAGAAGTAAAAGGGTAAACCACCAACTCACAGGAGACAGACACAGCTGGAAAATCCAGCTCATGGCTGGTAAAGCAAGGCCCACGCACATCAAACAGGGTCAGGCCAGGCTCGTCCCTGCCCTGCTCTGAGGCTGCTCTGGCGCGTTATCCATCTGCCCATTAAGCACAACTGGATTCTCTTAAGAATGTATGCAGTTGGCAGTTTTAAATGTGCAGTAAATACAAAGGCACCGGCGAAGTCACCTTTATTTACCTAGATCAGTAACTGTGGGCATAATTCTTTGGGTTGTTTTGTTTTGTTTTTGAGACAGGGCCTCCCTCTGTGTAACAGCCCTGGCTGTCCTGGAAATATAAAAGGAACATCCCTGCCATGCTTCCGTGAACCCTACTTCAGAGAATTTAGAAATTACCCAATTTTATACTCTTGAACTTTGCTTGAATATTTTATGCAATTCCATGTTTAGCCTCCAGAGTGTATTTTTTAAATGACCTGCTAGCTAGTCATACTATATGTGCATAAAGCATCAACTAGGAGGCGAAGTAATGTTGGGGGAAGCAGCTTCTGCTGTGTACATTTCTGTTTGGGGACTCTACTGTTCTTGTCATTATCTGATGTGGGTCAGTAAGATTTAGATAAGCACCTCCTCCCGAAACAGAAAGATTATCTTTTCCACTCTCTTATGTTTGAACTTGATTTAACATTACCTAATAAAACAATACAGTGTAAGAGTAGTTTAGAGATTTACTTTTCTTGGCCAGCTTAGAAATACGATGAAGGTAAGAACACTGTCGGTACACTAGGGGGAGCAGTTGAGTCAAGCCAGATCTTAAAGCCATCCTCTTGCCACATTTTCACTGTTGATGATTTTTGTTATAATTCTATTTACTTCAAAGTAGCAGTTTTAATTTATCTAGTGCCTGGAGACTCCCTTTCATAATATTTTCAAAGAAATTATTCTCTGCATCATGATTGACTTTGGGGGTGTGGTGTTTATTGGGGTGACCAGCTCTAAACCAGACATTTTGGAATCTCATCCTCTCTTAATTCGGAAATGGGCTGGGCTGTGATTGCCAGATGTCTGTCTCTGTGGATTCGGGGACATCAATAGAAGGATGCGTAGAGTAGTTCCTTGCCATGTTCATTTCTCTTGAAAATGTCCCCTTCAACATGTGAGCACGTGGGTCTCTTGTTTGACCTTGGACCCAGAAGGCTCCCCTGCTTGCTAAAGGAAGCTCAGAGAAGTTTCTGTGTGCGTTTGTTCTCGTAATAATGAATCATTAGTTCAACTCCTCAAAGGGACTGTGTGAGAATTTGTTAGGCAGATCCAGCCAACCCCTTGACACCTAGGAGTTTGCAGATGGGGAGTCCAGAAAACAAAGGGAGGAGGGCCAAAAAGAAGGATGCTATGTGGGTCCTGGCAGGTGTCCTAGAACCGCATAAAAGGTAGAATTAAGATATATGTAAACACACAGTTGGGGCAGTTTCCATGATGAAGAGAAACAGCTAATGGGTTTGCCAATTACTGATGAGTAACAGCAGTATAAAAGCAGGGGAGAGGCGAACGATCAATGGATTGAGAAACCCCAGCTTGGCGTGTGTTCCCCGGGGAGTGTTGTGGACCCAGCAGTCCAGTTGTCGTGCGGACGTAGACATAGCCGGGCTCTGCTTATTCTTGGCACATCTTT